ACCGCCCGGCGCTGGTCCGCTGAGCTGAGGTGATCCGATTCTCGTTCTCGTTTCGGTGCCCAAGACACAGACTAGACCGAGCCACAATTACCACGACTGTCCTCCGCCCCACCGGACATAATGAACAGACTTCCTGTCTGGCACGATGTTCATAAAGAGTAGCATGAAAGACACTGTCCGCGACTGCAAATCAGGTATGGATGCTAGAGTATTCACTGTTGTGGAAAAAAAGCAAAACTGTAGACCAGATTGTCTCTCTTTTCAATGAAGGTTTCAGGAAGAACAGAAAAACTTGCAAGCATGAGCGCAGTCAGCTATAGTCAAACGACTAGCATTTTCCAAAGAGAACGTCGTCGTGCTACGCTTCAGCAACGCTGCACACTTCAGGCGCTGCAAGCCACTAAGGTTCTCCTCGGGTAGGTGCTTCCCACATAAGCAGACCGAGAAAGGAATTAAGCCACTGGTTTTACCTTTATTTTGCACTTTCAAAGGTCTAAAGTAATACACTATCCACGAATGTCCACCTGGCTACCAAATATTCGAAGGTATTCTAGTTGTCAGATAGCAGACAGTCGCAGAAATGGTCTTTAAGACGTGCTCAGTCCGATGTTCTGTTTGTAAGTGGCTGAATTTTAACGCAACGCGATTTCGAACACTGAAAGAGACTCTCAGCATCCACAGAGACGAGTTGCAGTGGACACAATAAATCGAGTGGGTGTACAGGACAAATATGCCTGTGCACCCACTCGATTTATTGTGTCCACTGCCACTGTGTCCATTCCAGTGGAGAAAGGTACTGTACCCCTGAGCAGGCGCCACGTGGTACCTTACTCAACAAGAGGCGATCTCTAGGCGTCTCAGCAAGGCTTAACATGCCTACCGCCAGTATCTCCTAAATGGACATGCCGTGCAGATCAACAACTCATCATTACCGGGCCAGTTGTTTTCGTCCACAACCCGCTTCTAAATAGTGTTTCGCACTTATCTAGGTTTCCTTCCGCAGAAGTAAGTTTCTATTAATATTGAAAATATAAGCAATTGCTCACTTTTAACATTTTTTTGATTGCTATTTACTTGATGTCCGGATATCCAGCGTTTAAAGACAATGTCAGTAATGGTTCGTTATTCGAAGTGATTTTTGATAATGCCTCGAAAACTGTTGCGGTTTGAAAGTCATGTCATTCCACGATTATATTGCAATCTCTATTATTTTTCACTTAAATAAAGGTCCCTTAGCAGCTTCCCTCGTTCTTGATTCACTAAAGGCACTGTTTCGTTCGTCTACTTCAATTTTCTGAGGGGAGCGAAATTATCGTGCACACTGCCTTTAAGCAACTAGCATTGTTTTCAATAAGAGCTAACCTTCATCTAGTGTCGCTAACCATCATCTAGTGTACTTAAGGTACCAGTAAGGACACAAACAAACGATAAAAACGACTTGCCTGTCCCTTTCTCTGGGTGAAGCTGACCCTGACTTGGATCTGGAACATTGAAGTTGAGAAATAGGTTTAAATAGCAAAATTGTGGTAATTGCTATAGCACAGTTTACCTCTCTCTTCCTCTTTTCGTGTCGTCTTCAGGCCTGAAATCGTTGAATAGGACGATTGGGGAAAACTGAAGGGAAATGGACTTATGGGAGAATTTTTATTGCTTACCTTTTTCTGGGTGTTGGTGAATCCCCATCAGCACGCTTTCTTTCGGGAGAACTTGTACTACAAAGGAAATGATATACTAATGCCAAAGTATTTAGAGATGCTATGAAACTTACGTTCCGTCCGCATCGGAGCTGGCTGACGAACTCACTTCCTTCTTCACCTTTTTCGGCCACATCTTCGGACTTTCTGGTTCTACTCTACTTCTCGAATTACTACGTTTGCGCCGACGATCGCGGGAATCGTCACGTCGCTTACGATCGCGAGAGTCATCTCGTCGCTTACGATCGCGAGAGTCATCTCGTCGTCTGCGATCGCGTGAATCATCGCGACGCTTGCGTTCACGCGAATCATCTCTTCGGCGACGATACTCCCAACGCCTCATCTCTTCTTGACGCCAGCGATTATCTAGGTAAGTCTCTCGACGAAAGCGATAGTTAGGAGGTCGTAGCGGTCTACGAGCAGGGCTTCGACTTCGTTCTCGTCTCTGCACAGGCGACCTGCTACGGTCTCTACGAGATCTGTCGTATGACCTCTCTTCTCCACTCCGACGTCTGCTTGCACCTCCAGGACTTCTGCGACTGCTTCGTTGTGGGGAATACTCGTCTCTCCTCCTTCTTTCGTGAACTCTTTCATCAGAAGAAGAGTCCTCTTCAGAGCTTTCCTTTGGTTTGGGCTTCTCTCTGCCAGAATCTCGGCTAGCCTTCCTCTCAGAAGATTCATCACGGCGTCCCTTTTTGGGTGATTCCTTCTCTACCGGTGCCTTTTCACGCAACTTCTCTGACGCTACCCGACGCTCCTTCTCTGGCGGCGACTTCGCTCGTGAATCCTCTTCCTCCCCTGAATCTGAGTCCTTTCTGCTTCTCTTTTCCTCTTCCGAATCCGAGTCCTTTCTGCTTCTCTTTTCCTCCACATCACTTTCAGGAGGTCTTTCTGGGGATGCGTGATCAGACTCACTGGCCTCCGACTCTTTTTGCTTCTTTTTGTGCTTTTCTGACCGCTTTGAGCTCTTCTTTTTCTTCTTCTTCGATTTTTTTGATTTCTTTTTGGAACGAGATCTTTCATCATCCTCGTCATCCGATGACGATCTTGATGAGGAACGATTTCTCTTTTTCTTCGAATCAGATTTTGACCTTTTGCGTTTAGAGTGCTTCTTCTTCTTGTCTTTTTTGTCCTCAGATGATCTGAAATGAATACGCTGTGATGTAAGTGATAGAAAAAACTGACAATTCGATGAAATTACTTTATTTCCTCTTGAGCAGAGCCAGAATTAGAAGAATCTCTGCGGCCAGTAGGTTCCTTCTGCTTTGAAGCTTCCCTTGAAACATTTAGCATTGAAAAGCTTTGCACAGACCATATGCGGTCACATATTTGAGCAGCCATCGCAAATAAACAAAAAAGTGCTCGTACCTGGAAGACGATCGATCGACACTCTTCGACTCCGGTTCCGGTTCGACCTTCTTTCGTGAAGTCTTTCGCTCCTTAGAGCGAGATCGCCTTTCTGCAGGAGACCTGAAACCGATAGGAAGATACACACTATGAAAAATCCGCTGTGAATTCGGGATTTCACTAGAATTTGCAATTGGTCCGCTTCGTATATGCTTCTCATTGTCAGGGGTGGGGGTAAGCCTCCCGGTCAAGTCATTCAGCCACACTGGGACAACACGAGGGTGATCACAAGACCTACTACGAATGATGCATGGGTGGAGGACATCTATTTCTTTGACATCACCATCTAGGTGGTGCCATAGAGCCTTTCAAAAGTTTTGCTCTGAGAAAGTTTCAACTTCTCTATGCTATACATTAGGTCATTTATGAAAACTAATAGAGGAGTGGCAGGAATTCCAAGAGGAATTCGAACTTTTGGGGGACTTGCAAGACTCCCCGTTTCCAAGTGCTACCTTCATGATCCCTGCAAACGATGGTGTGTATGAAGGGGCGCGAGTTGGTGCGCAGCCTAAGCAGTCTTTCCCGTCAACTGCTGCGTATTCGGCGTGGCATCTTTGGTGGAAAAAGGCAGCCATGGCAAGCCCTAATCTACGTTATGTCACACCCTCTCGTTTGCAAAGATCGTTACTGTAAATTCATTCGAATTGACTTGAATTAAAGAAATAGTCGTACTGAGGGCATCAAACGAAGTCCAATATGGCAGATAGTTGGGGAATTACACGGGTCAAGATCAAAAATCTGAAATGTTAAACCACCACATCGAGCCATAACGGGTGTCAGTCTGCGAGATTTCACGGTTTGCCTCAGATGCCTGAGTTCAGTGGAAAGAACATTTCATCACAATGACATATGGATGTGTGCAAAGGGGTTTGATGAGATGGTATAGTCGGACTGGACACCTCAAATCGTCAGGATTTCTTAAAACCCTACGTTTCATAAGGTTGCTTCATACAAACGGCCTGCGGTTAATGCCTGCGAGTTGACACAGGACAGTCCCCTTATCAGTTGCTTGCGATGACCAAGAAAGTGAATATCAAGAATTTTCATGTCCGCGATCAAGTGGTCCGCGAAATGCCTCCGTGCATTTGGCATCGCTGTTCGTATTCACAGCCCTTTGGTCACTCAAAATGGCGAAATAAAGAAGCTAGAGACGCGTGATTATTGCAATCATTGCAACCACGATTACTTTCATTCTGGCACCTTACAAGCGCCATCGCGTGCGTACATTGTGTTGCCTGGAGCGTCGTAGGGCAATTTCTGTGCTCTTGCCGGGAATCGGTTGCACGTCGAATCCTGCTGATTGGGCTTGCCGACGTCCGACAAACTCATCCAAGGCGCCTGCTGCTAAGGGGGTTCCTGCCCAACGTTCCCGAGCTTTTTCTCACTTCTTTCTCTACTGGGAGCTACTTGTGGGGTACTGGTTCATGACTGAACACTTACCAGTACACTTGATCGCGATGAGCTTGTAAAAGAAAAAATGAGAAATTGTGAAAATTGTCTTACGTGGAACCACGCTCGCGCGTGCTTTTTGAACGTTCTCCTCTCTCTTCAGCATCTTTCTCCAATTTCTCAGCAGGGCTTCTGGATCTAGACGGTGATCTACTGTTCCGCCTACGCTCTCGGACAGGCGACGACCTAAAATTTCAAATCAAAAGATGGTACATAACATATCCCTACAAGGGATTGTTGCTTCACGAGATAGTTGACAGAGACCTGAGTATCAGACATAAGCTTTCCTAGAATAAATTGTAGACTCACTCTTTCCTCTTTTTCTTTCGATTTTGACGACTCCTCCTTCCTTGAGCTTGCGGTAGATTTCTCATCCTTTGACGAGACTCTAAAATGGATTCAAGAAGGAAAACCTTGCACCAACACATTATGAAATGCTAGCAATTTTAAAACGAGATTTTGTCGGTGACATAGTGCCCAAAAGCAATTATGCCTACTTTCTTTTGAAATACCGTGCCATATCGTACAACTAGAAATGAACTAATGAGATAAGGACAAAACCTCTTGCGCACAGGAGACGACTCCTTCAACTTTCTTTCCTTCGAACGCGAACGCCGAGATTTCTTTGCTGAAATGAATGCGAGATGCAGAATTACCAATGCTACAGACCTCACTCATTGATTGTCTTAAACCGTAGGTGAAATTCTTACCATATAGAACACACCGGAATTCCTGCACTAGGAATTTTGCACGCATTGAACGTGACTGATTACAATCAGTGCACTTCCTGTCGGTGGGGAGAAATTGTGAGAAAGCGACCGCCCTACGGACTTCCTCCTCTGGCACGACCCTCCTTTCCCCATCTCTATTCTACTTACCATCTTTCTTATTCTCCCAGCTCCCATTTTCCGTCCTCTTTTCCATAGTTTTTTTTTTCGAAAACTCTCCAATATTTTCCCCAGCTGCCGCCGAGCGTGGGGGGGGGCGAGGGAAAAGGATGGGAAAGCGGTACACAGCGTACTTGAAACAGAAAAAAAACCGATAAGGTCCACAAAAACATCATTCTAGAAGGCAACTACGACTTCCCTCCCTCTAGACCGAATACGACCCCATTCTCTAGGGATCACCAACGCACAATGTGATCTGATCCAAAGGAATACCTTGCAACTCCCTTTTCATGTACTCTGAATCGACTTAGGGGCGCCTTTATAAACTCATTTTCGTTGAAAACTCGTCGTATGTAAATTGTTTAGTTTAAAAGTACTATAGCGGTAGTTCACTAATAAAATACTATATGTTTAAGCCATGGACTGGGTAGGGTTGCGGTTCCCTCCAACTAGGGAGTTCAATGTGTGAAACAAGTCACTGGTTCTTTTTCTACTCATTCTTTTTCTTTTTCCAATTAGAACTGATCCCATTAGTTACTAATATGACTCATTACTATATGCACGAGAAGATAACACAAGGTACCTCCAGAGTCAGAACTGCTTGAGTCAGATTCAGAAGAGCTTGATGAGCTGCTGTCCGAATAGCTACGTTCTTTTGCTTTCTTAGTTGACGACTTTTTGGAAAGGTCCGATTTTTTGGAAGATTCGACATTTCTCGATTCTTCGCGCTTTGATGAATGATGTTTCACCAATGTTTCACTGCGACGCTCCTCGGGATCGGATGGAATCGGTTCGGCGTCGAATTCATCCCCAGACGAGTCATGACGACGTTTTTTCGTCATGTCCTAAACTTATTGCGTCACAAAAGGAAACAGAGGACTGTTAAAGAGTTGCTGCAAAAATGCGGAAATAGGAGAAGATGTTCCGACAATGTCATATAAATCAATATTAAATGCAAACATAACGACGGGACAATACACAAGCTACAGCACCGGCACAATTGCAAGTAACCTTTGAAAAACTGAAACGTTGACCAAATAGCCTTCACGTCCTCCAAATTAAAATAAATGTAGTGAAGTATAAAATACATGGCGGAACAGTGTGAATCTCCAACTCTAGTGGCTTCCATGATAAAAATGTAGGTAAAACTTCGAACTGGAAAAATCCAAAAGCGTTCCTAGCGCCGCCACCGTTTGTAGTTATGACGTCAACTGCCGCGTTTCGTCTGCCACTACGTACCATACGCACAGAGATGCCCAATTGAAATTGGGTAACGGATCTGTCAAACGGGTGTTCACTCGCGCAAACGTCTAAAGTTTACCTCTTATCGCAGTATTTGAAGGCAACAAAGGGGGGAGAACGAAGGGAGAGGGAAGGAAGGAAAGTGAAGGAAGGAGGAAGAAAATACAAGGATGAAGAGTCTACTCGGTCGTGGGAATATGTACAGTTGTTGAAAACGAATTCAGACTAGTCGGATTGATATTCGTCCTATTCAAGTCTGCATTCTGCGGCTGAACTTTCACAGCGCCACGAAGCCGCATGTTATTTCCAAACGGGGCCGAGGACAATTGTTTGCATGCACCTGACACATTTTTAGTCTCACACGCACTAGTTGTTCACGCATAGAATCCTCAACCATCGAATCAATAAGGTTCATCAGTGTGACGTGGATTTTGGAACGGTGCCAGTTCATTTTCTACCAATCACTGCTCGCCTTATCTGGCAATGACTGTCCCACGGACACACCCCGTCGATTCTTGAGGACGTCCTCATGGGTCGTCACCAGTAAAACAATCTCTTGCTGAAAAGATTTGGTTCTCATCGGCACACGTCTGCAAATGCGGTTTCAATTTCGATTTTCGATTCAGAACTCCAGATTCTAGCAATGAATATTTTCAACCCTCATTTCCACACTGAATTCCGAATGTTCTGATTAAAGTTAGGAGCGAAGCGGTTAGGTCGCGTTCGTACTTTGCAAACGCGATCGTAAGAACGCGCGTTCTCCCGATTCGCGGACTCCCCACATCAGTTGAATATAAACTAGGCACTCAACTCCGAATGCCTGGTTCTTGCCATGTGCGAGGTCCGCCTAAAAAGTGGCAGGGAACAGGCCAAGGTGTGGTGACGCCGCCGCGATGCCGTTTGAGGACCGCTGCCTCGCCTGCGCACTCGCGTCGGCTGGCGTGGCATAGCCGAGCGGCATAGTCGTCCTTTGACGTGTGGTTGTGCCACCCGGGTATCACCAACCCTTACTTCCGCATGTTCTTAAGTGAAGAAAGAGTTACTCCTGGTCAGCCCAGTCCTTTCCTCGCACATGACAAGATTCTTTCTCGGAAGCTGGTGAACAGTTCTTCTTTGTATCTGGGCTTTCTGTCAGTTCTGCCGCAAGAAGCGTCAAGAGATAGTGGACAACAACTGCTTGAGTATCGAAAGATAAGACATAGCGTATGTTGAGCCCAGAAGTGGGTTATTGAAGGACGAGGAGAAAGAGCATTTATTCCATGTAAATTTTGTATGCGCAAGGTTACTATGGTGATTTAAAGCTTTTTAGGGGTGTATGACAAGAGAACCGGCTTGCCGGCCATCCGTCGAATAATAAAGGTACGAGAAGGGTGTTACTACAAAAGAAGTTTGAGTGTTGTGCTTCGTACCGTGAGGCATAATAGGAGTGGACGCTGTAAGAAACGGCCAAAGACAATAGGTGCGGCAACACGAATAAAAACTTAGAAAAATGCAACGGTCCCCACGAGTTTCGCTGCTCTAATTGAGAAACTGACGCGCAGTTCGAATTTCCCGCGCCCATCATCCGCGTGACGGCCACGTTGAAAACTTTCCCGCGCTCGTCGCCAGCGGTGCGGCGCGCGTGGGAAATTACGATTCTCTTGTCTGTCTCCGTCTACGCACTTGGTATGTGACAAGAGAATCGTAATTCACCGCGCTGGTGGGCGTCGCGTGCGACGTCGCACGCAAATGACGATGGTTCCAGGTAGTAGATGGCGACAACAGGCAATTCAGAACCGAAAATAGTCATGAATGTCTACGATGACGGGGTCTACATGAAGTCCGGTGCTCCAATCGACAGGTTAACACGAGTTGAGAAAACGCCGCGCCCATCGCCGCGCGCGGCGGAGCGGCAAATTACGATTCTCTTGCCCGTCTCCCCTATGCACTAGACTGCAGACAAGTGCCATGAATTGGTGTGCTCCGAAGGACCGGGTT